TTCCTACTATCTCTGATTCAACATTTCAAGGATTTTTTTTTGCTCTTTCTTCAGGAACTTCTAGGAAATCGACTTTTATTGAGCCGTCCACACAAAAGATTCCAGAAATTAACAGTGAGAAACATGTTAGCTGATCAATGGCAAAAGGCTGATTTTTCATGATCCCAGCTAATCATTAAAAACAAAAACTTTAACATTTTCCATGAAAAATAGTCCTGTTGCCACCTTGTGGGGAAGATAATAACTGCATTAAATGCCCTGGAACAATCTTAACCTGTAACTTTAACCCAGATATTCCGATTACTTTCAGAACAGATTCAAACAATGATAATCATGTCCACTGTTGCCCATTCATCTGTTGCCAATTTTTCTGCCCAAAATTCTGAGTCTGACTTGTCCCAAACTGGTTGGAGATTAAGGTTCTATGTTGGTGAGGTAGTTAAAGGGACAGGTGGATGAGGGGATTAAGGTGCCTGGTTGGCAAGGTGGGGGTTAGGGTAAGAGGTTGGTTAGGGGTGTTAGGGTGCCTGTTTGGTGAAGGGGTTAGGGTGCCTGGTTGGTGAAGGGGTTAGAGTGCCTGGTTGGCGAGGGGTTTAGGATGTCTCGTTGGCGGGGAGTTTAAGGTGCCTAGTTGGCAAGGGGGGGTTAGGGTGCCTGGTTGGTGAGGGGGTTAGGGTGCCTGGTTGGCGAGGGTGTTTAGAATGCTTGGTTGGCAAAGGGGTTAGGGTGAATGGTTACTGAGGGGGGTTAGGGCACCTGCCTGGTGAGAGACTACAGTTGGGTGGGAGGGGGGTGGGATGACAGGTGTTAGGACCAGTAATGGACACAGTAAACTCAGGAAGTGTCAGGAACGGGGGCATGTAGTTGCATGGGTTAATGCTGAGTCTAGGTTCAGTTTAATAGATACCAAGAAAAAGATTAGGATTTTAATCCTCTAAGATTTTATGGGTAAACATTAAACGTAAGTGAGTGCGAACCCTCCAAATTCTCCAACTACCCGAGGTTCCGGGTGGAGGGGAGTTGGCAATCAGACTTTTCAAATTCCTGGACAATTTCCTTGGAGTCAGCTGCATCGGGAACATCTTAGCCAATGTCATAGAATCACACAATGTCAACAGAGGCCACTCAGCCCTAACCAATGGCTGTACTGGCTCTTGGAAACTCCAATTATTTTAGTCACATTCTCCTGTCCATTCCCCCATTGGCCAACAATTGTCTCCCGTTCAAGAATTCCCATTGTTTTCAGAAAGTTAATATTGAATTCGCTTCCACCACCTTTTCAGGTTGTGCGTTCCAGATCATAACAGTTCATTGCACATTTTTGAAGCCTTCAGGGTCTTTTGCCAATCATCTTGAATCTGTTGTCTTTGGTTACTGCTAGTTCTGCTCCTGAAAACTCTATCGCAATGCTTCATAAACTTTAATTAAATATTTCCTAAACCTTAACTGATGTCGATAAATCAATCTCACTTTCTCTAGTCTGTCCACAGGACTGAAGTACCTCATGCTTTCTACTATTCCCCTAAACCTCCTCTGCACTTTCTCCACAGGCTTCAATGATCTTTCCTATAAGTGTGGTGCCCAGAAGATATAATACAGAAGTAAATAAAAGCAAAACACTGCAGATGCTGGACATCTGAACTAAAAGCAGAAAGTGCTGGAGAAACTCCACAGATCTTGAACTCAAACAGTTAATTCTGTTTCTCTCCGTTTTAAGACAGGCTCAGTATTTCTGTTTTTATTATGTAAATCCAACAGATCCCTCTGTACCTGCACCCTCTTTCAAGATGATTAAAGTGTATGGTCCTGGGGTAATTTAGCACAGCAATACCTGACATATTCTTTGCTAAACTAACCTGAGCACCTTCGAAGTGTATTCACTTTTGCAATGGAAGAAACATTTCTGCGCACAGCAGTTCAGAAGAGGTTCACTAGACTGATCCCTGGAACAGAGGAGTTGTCTCAAGAGGAAAGGGACAGAGGATGCCCTAGAAAGGGTTGGCATGCAGGTACAGCAAGTGATCAGAAAGAGAAATTGAATAATTTTGTTTTATTGCAAGGCGAATGGAATATAGAAGTAGGAATGTTTTGCTTCAGCTGTACAGGGTCGTGGTGAGACCACATCTGGAGCACAGGGTACAGTTTTGGTCTCTTTATTTAAGTTGCATTAGAAGTATCCTCTTGATATCTATTAAACTGAACCTAGACTCAGCATTAACCCATGCAACTACATGCCCACCTTCCTGACACTTCCTGAGTTTACTGTGTCCATTACTGGTCCTAACACCTGTCGCCCCACCCGCCCTCCCACCCAACTCTAGTCTCTCACCAACCAGGTGCCCTAACCCCCCTCAGTAACCATGCACCCTAACCCCCTTTATTTAAGTTCAGAGAAGGTTCACTGAACTCATTCCTGGGCCATGGATTATGAGGAACTGTCAGACAAATTTGGATTTAGAAGAATGAGAGGTGCTTTTATTGAAACATACAAGATCCCGAGTAGACATGACGTGATGGATTCTGAATGGGTTTTACCCCTTGTAGATGAGATAAGAACTAAAGGGCACAGTTTAAAAATAAGAGATCTTCCATTTAAGATAGAGATGAAGCAAAATTGCTTCTCTCAGAGATTCATAAGATCAAAAGAGTGGGAGCAGAAATAGCCATCCAGTCCATCGAATCTACTTTTCCATTCCATAAGATGATATGCGATCAGATAATCCTCCTCCATTTTCCTGCCTTGCCCCCATAACCCTCGATTCTCTTACTGATTAAAAATCTTCTTTCTCAGCCTTGAATAATGGCCCACCCTCAACAGCCCCTTGCAGTAAAGAATTCCACAGACTCACAATCCTCTGAAAGGAAAACAAATCCTCCTCATCTACCTTAAATGTTTGACCCCTTATTCTGAGATTATCCTCTCTGGTCCTAAGATCTGTCTCTCACAATGGGAAACAACCTCTCAGCATCTATCCTGTCAAGTCTCCTAAGATTTGTCCATGGAATTCCTTTCCCTAGAGAACAGTTGGATCTGGATCTTTGAATATACTTAAGGAGGAGACACAAAGTCATATTGCATGGAAACAGACTCTTTGGTCCAACTCGATCATGCTGACCAAGTTTCCAAATGGAAACTAGTCCCACTTGCCTGTGTTTGGCCCACATCTCTTTAAACTTTCCTATTCACGCTCCTATCCAAACGTATTTAAATGCCGCAACTGTACCTGCATCTACCACTTCCCTTGGCAGTTCATTCCACTTACGAACTATCCTCTGTGTGAAAAAGTTGCCCCTCAGGTCCCTTTTAAATCTTTCTCCTCTCGCCTTAAAAAGATTCTTCCTAGTTTTGAACTCCCCTACCCGAGGGAAAAGACATTTGCTATACACTTGATCTATACCCCTCATGATTTTATCAACATCTATAAGGTCATCCCTCAACTTCCTAAACTCTAGTGAAGAAAGTCCAAGCCTATCCAGCCTCTCCTTATAACTCAAACTTTCCAGTCCTGGCAACATCCTGGTAAATCTTTTCTGAATCCTGACAAATTCAATAATATCCTTCCAACAGCAGGGCAACCAGAACCATACCCAGTACTCCAAAAGTGGCCTCACCAATGTCCTATACAACCTCAATATGATGTCCCAACTCCTATACTCAATGGTCTGAGCAATGAAGGTATCAAAGGGCATCAGGTATAGACAGGAAAGGACAGGCTACAAACAGATCAGCCATGATCTTATTGAGCAGAACAGTAAAACTCAGGGACCGAATGGCCTCACCTGTGTGTTCATATATCCCATAAGCCGCAATTTGTTAATAATCAGACAGTGTGTTTTTACCACTAATATTGATTGAAGCTTAAATATTTCCCAGGACATAAGGGGGAGCATAACTACTCTTCATGAATTAGTGCACCAGAGTCTTTCACCTCTGCCCAAGACAGCAGACAAAAACTCAAGTGTAATGTCGCATTATAAACACACCATCTCTGACGATGGCACAGTGGTTAGGACTGCTACCTCACAGCTTCAGGGACTGGGGCTCAATCCCAGCTTTGGGTAATTTTGTGGAGTTTTCACATTCTCCCTGCATCTATGTGGGTTTCCACCCACAGTCCAAACATGTGCAGGTTGGGTGGATTTGCCATGCTAAATTATCCCAGTGTCCACGGGTGTCCATGGATTAGCTGCAGCAAAAGCAGGCTTAGAGAGTTTGGGTGGGATGCTCTTTGGAGAGTTGGTGCAGTCTCAATGGGCCTAATGGGCCAAATGGCCTCTCCCTGCACTGTCGGGATTCTAATATTAAGTGGAATTTCAATCCAGATACTGTGTTCAAGACTCAAATGTGGGATTTGAACCTATCGTCTTCTAATATGGAATTAAGTGTTCTATCAACAGAGACACAAACAATACAAAACCTTTTAGATTCATGTCACATCCAGTCAACTAATGTGATAGGAGGTTTTAACTTTTCCCTTTGTAAGATGGGTGAGTTAAAATGCATCTTAAATCTGTATTGATTTTCGAACGGTGTTAAGATTGAGGTCATACCTGAACGTGCTGGGTAATCAGTGATGGAGTGACCGCACTGGAGGTAGGAAACACCACTGTATTCACAACACCAGGGTTGCTTTTATCTGGAGGGGGACTGTTCTGGGCAGTGAGTAGCGTCGCTGGCAGCTCAAGATCCTTTGGTTTCTTGGTTTTTGGTGGCTGATGGTTACAAATGTTTTCCACCTTCACCTGACTTGGGCTGGGCACCTGAGGTAAGTCATCATCAGCAGGTTTGGTATCAAGGACGTCACATTCCAACTCTTCAATCGCCTCTTCCTTCACCTTGAAATCTCCCTGGGAGGGAGAATCTCTGCCTGTTTCCATGGAGAGCTCACCTCCATCTTGCAGCTGTTGCTCCTCGCCTTGGAGTTGAACCTCAGGCTCCTCAGGGGGCCTCTCGAGAACCTGGACTTTCCCTTCGAGGTTTGGCAGCTCCAAGGTTCCAGGAGGGGAGTCGTTGGCCTGATCCCGGGATCGGTGGTTGTTGCTTTGCAGCGACTGGATGGTGAAGGTCGAGTAGAGACCGGAGCGCATGTATTCATTCCGAGACGAAACCCTGGTGGTGGGCTTCAGCTGCCTCTGCAAAGAAAGGTTATCATCCTTTGGCCTACTTATTGCCCACTCACTGTCTGAGGCATCGCACTTCTCTGGCTCCATCGACAGGTTGTCTGGCATAGACACAAACTTATAAACAAACTTCTGCCCATTCACCTTCTTAATAATGTTCTGGAAAAGAAATGAGATTTGCGAAAGAATAAAATCACAAGAAGCAATGGGGATATAGATCCTGACTTTGGCCATTAGCAAGCTGGAAGTGTAGTTCAGACCTTGAGAGAGATAAAAGGAGCTTTGTTCCCCACAGAGTCAAAACTTGACCCCCATGTGTTGCTTTAAAAATAGATTTTCAATCCAATATTTTCCAATTCCAAAGGCTCTGAGCTTTGATGTGGGAAGGCTGCAGGGGTGCTGACTGATCTCTCTTATCTTACCAACCCACAGCCTCTGCCTGTAGGGCTTTCCCAATTGCTACCTAAGAGATGTTACAGACAATTTGCCACCTCCCTAGTGGTGCAATACCAGGCAATAATGCGGCAAATTGACCCTGGAGATCAACTCTGCCCCTTCTGAACTCACCAACTATCATAGTCTTTAATTGGTCAACTTATGGCCCATTAGGACCCTCAATCTGCCATCTTCCCAAACACCTGCCTCCCCAGTCAGGCAAGAAAGGTGCCTAGTTTCCCAAACCTAGGGACAAGCATGATGAGTTCAATGACGGGGAGGGTCAGTGGGTTCCACCTGCCACAATGTCAGGGAAATCAGAGTCTGAGACTGGGGTAAAAGGTATGCGTTGGGATTGGGATGACCTTGGAAAGACATGCCCCTGCCATTGTCTCCGAACACGCTGACCAACCCCTCCCTGCAACCCCAACCCATGACATGAAGTTAAGAATGACATACATTCTCAATGCTAGACTCCCTCCCCCAGGAGCAGGATCTCAACAAGAAATATCCTGGACCCAAAGGCTCCTGGCCATTGACTGGCAGTACCAATGCCTGTGATAGGGCAAGATATCCACTGATCATTCTGCCTGTCAGCTCTTGGAGAGATATCTCAGTGGTGCGGGGTGTGACGTGTTCGTTGCCACTACCATGCTCATCATCGCACTCAGAAAAAAATTTGAAAATCATACCCATTCAATCATAATTGCCAAACAGGAACCCATATATTTTCTGTATAGATTAATTCCTATTTCCCCTCTCCATCTCCACAACCCTAGTTTGTTTTTCCCATCAATTTCCTTTTGAAATCGTTAATCAATACAACTCCCACCCCCTCTATAGGCAGCAAGCTGAGACTATTAAGGCTGACGTTTCGGGCCTAGACCCTTCATCAGAAAAGGGGGAGGGGAAGGGGGTTTTGAAATAAATAGGGAGAGAGTGGGAGGCGGATAGAAGAGGGATAGAGGAGAGGATAGGTGGAGAGGAAACAAACAGGTCGAAGAGGCGGGGATGG